AACATTTCCTCAACCATTTCATCTCTATTAATAAGAATTAATCTAGTATAGTTGGCTCTCTAGTTCCTTCCTCTACCTTTTGGGAGATAAAGTTGTCACAATTACCACTACATACCCTTTTCTCTTTGTGACCGTCTGAACTACTTTTCTTTCTGTCACTGGAACGCTAGATGAAGACCTTAATTCAGAAGCTTGTGTGTTTTCTTGCAGGGGGAGGACATGAAATCAATTGTTCAACTCCAATGGCAGGGACACTTTTCTTGGGGTTTTTTGTTTGTTTGTTTTTTTGTCTTCTGATTGATACGTTGCCATTAATTTTCCTCTAGCAGCTCCCAACTTTTTGGGCATCAGGGACCGGTTCTGTGGAGAGAGGTTTTTCCGTGGATGGGTGGGGGTATGGTTTCACATGCTGCCTGCATCCCACGCGGGTGCAGATAGGGCTTCGCTTGCTTGGGCAGCCTTGTTTCTGGCACACTGTAGCTCAGTGCCAGTTCGCATTCCTGGGCTTGGGGACCCCTGCTCTAAGCCTTCATATTTCCTAGTAGTTGTTTCTTCCTTGTGCTTTTAGCCTTTCTGAGGTATTTCTCATTTTCATGGATGAGACTCAGAATGGCTAGACATGCCTTTAGATCTCCCACTTTATTCTCTAGCAATCTGATCAGTTTGCACTTGTTGCAGGTATAATTTGAGTCTTCCACAGGCAGGAATACAAACATAGCACATATCTTGCAGGTCACTTCATCAATGATTTGGACGAGGGGATAGATGGAGAACTCATCAAATTTGCAGACGACACCAAGCTGGCAGGAATAGCCAATACTCCAGAAGACAGGCTTAAGATGCAGAAGGATCTTGACAAACTTGAACATTGGGCGCTATATAACAAAATGAAATTCATGTAAGGTTCTACATTTAGGCAAGAAAAACCAAATGCACAGGTACAGTATAGGTGGTACCTTGCTGAATAGTAGTAACTGTGAGAGGGATCTCGGAGTCCTAGTGAACAATCACTTAATTATGAGCCAGCAGTGTGCTGCAGCTGCCAAAAAAGCCAACACAGTGCTAGGCTGCATTAACAGAGGGATAGAACAAGATCACATGAAGTGTTAATACCACTTTACAATGCCTTGATAAGGCCACACTTGGAATACTGCATCCAGTTTTGGTCACCATGATGTAAAAAAGCTGTTGAGACTCTAGAAAGAGTACAGAGAAGAGCAACAAAGATGATTAGGGGACTGGAGGCTAAAACATATAAGGAACGGTTGCTGGAATTGGGTATGTCTAGTTTAATGAAGAGAAGACTAGGGGTGACATTATAGCAGTGTTCCAATATCTCAGGGGCTGCCACAAAGAGGAGGAGTCAAGCTATTCTCCAAAGCACCTAAAGGCAGGACAAGAAGCAATGGATGGAAACTAATCAAAGAGAGAAGAAGCCTAGAACTAAGGATAAATTTCCTGACAGTTATAACAATTAATCAGTGGAACAACCTGCCTCCAGAAGTTGTGAATGCTCCAACACTGGAAGTTTTTAAGAAGAGACTGGACAGCCATTTGTCTGAAATGGTATAAGGTTTCCTGCTTGAGCCGGGGATTGGACTAGATGACCTCCAAGGTCCCTTCCAACTTTATTATTATTATTGTTATTATTCATCATCGTACAGTCAGCCAGATGTTCAGACTGGATTTGGCATTTTTGTCTACCTATCGAGTCCTTACCAAGGACCTGGGATAGGCAGATGTGGATGTTTGAACTGATGGTATTACAGATATCGACACAGAATGGAAGCTGTTCTAGTAAGGCTGCTTTTGCAATTGACAGATGATGAATTTGTCAATGCCAATGGTGTCCAAGTGGTGCTCCAGTTGCTTTGGGATTGCACCCAAGGCACCTATTACTATTAGTACTACCCTTGCTTGCCTTTGCCACAGTCATTCTATTTCTATTTGTAAGTCTTCGTATTTTGTTATTTTCTCCAGTTCTTTTTCTTCTATTCTGCTGTCTCCAGGCACTGCCACATCCACTATCCAGATTTTTTTATATTATTATTATTATTATTATTATTATTATTATTATTATTATTATTATTATTATTATTATTATTGTTGTTGTTGTTGTTGTTGTTGTTGTTGTTGTTGTTACAGTGCTAGCCTCTTTCTTCATGACTTTGTTATTCTTTAGAATTTGTGCCACTGGTTGCATTTATATAGCACCAGAGGTTGCTAGGAGAACAAGGATTTGCTCATCGCAAGCTGGATAATGTCCCAGTTGTCCAGCTAACAGTGAGCAACTCTTTGTTTTTGTTGATTCTCAGTGACCACATAGATTTTTTTCCAGAAACACATATACATATGTGTGTGCATGCACACATGTACTTACCCACACACTTAAAATGCTTAAGTCCCCTGAAAAGATTTGGTTTACATGTTTAAACTTCTTTTCACTGAGATTGCTCTTTTCCTGACACACTAGAATATAATTTTTCCCCTAATATATCCTGATATTGGAGAGCAGAAACTGTTGAAAAGATTCCAGCACAAGTCTAGCTACATTCCATGCAGTGAATAGCTCTCATTGGAGATATGTATTATCCTCCCTCCCAGAAACAGCTATTAGGATCCTTGAAGGATGAATGACCATCTCTATTCATATGGCAAAAAACCCACTTTCCCATGCTTCTCTCCAAGGAGGGGGAGATTGGAGCAATTGAAAGAAAATTGTCTGCACAACAATTACCATCCTGCAGTATAGCCAAAGAATTCTATAAAATGAATGTCACTCTGTCCATCTTTTATCTTTCCATTAATTAGTATATTCATTGTTCATAAATTCACAATTATGTAGTTAAGTATCTAATGTTGATAAGTATGATTTAGACTTAAATGTGCATACCTCTATATATTTTAATTCAAATTAAACATTTAAAATTATGTCAATACTTTTCTTAGCCACAAACTATATCACACATTTTCAGGGAAGAGGAAATCCCAATGATAACTCTTTAAAGAGGTGCTTGAAATTTGTTTTAATCTGAGTCAAAACTGAGGAGTTTCAAATTAATTCTGTGGTCCTGTGAACTGAAGTAGGGTTTATATAAAGCAGCTTGAATGCTTTGGCATTTGTAACTATTATAGAAGTGACATACATAGTATGTACAGGAAAGATAATATTGAACTGTTATTTCTCTATAATATGTCCAGATGGAAGAAATAAAGAATTGCACATCGAGAGATTTACAATGGAAAAGGTTAAAGACCATCTTCACATCAAAATTAGACTTACTTGTACATCTGTACAATACTTGAAACTTCACTGAAACCTCTACACTTTATTATTGTTATATTTATATCCTTTATTTTATTCAACTCAACTTAATGACTCAAGGCAACATGCATAATGCTTCCACCTCATAATTTCTTCACAATAATGCTGTTGGGGAGATAGGCTGAGAGCAAGTGACTGGTTCCAAGTCACCCAACTGGATTTCAAGCCTAAGGGAAGACTGGAATTTAGAGTTTCCTGGTTTCTAGTCTAGCACCTTAATTACTATACCAAACTCTTGACTTTATACTATTATGTTATGATATACTATCATGACTTAACAGTGATATTGGGTAAAAGTGAACAGCAATAGAGCAGAATTTGTTCAAAAACCTCTGGAACTTTTTAGATATATTGTACTTTCCTTACAAAAATAGTGTAAAATACTGGCCAAAACTATTTTGGGTACAACTCTATCCTGATCTCTCTCTGTTGATAAGTATTTCTCCTCATGGGAAAAAAGGTGTAATTATGGATTTAGCTTATTGCTGTCGCCCAGTCCAATCACTGACAATGACCCTCAAAACAAGCAAACAAAAAAAGCCTCAGGAAAGATCCAATGAAGTGTCATTGTTTCAAAATTGCAGGAAAATGGAGAAATATAATGCAGACCTATGGAACAGTCCTTTTTTAACTCCTAATTATTTTAAAAATATTTTTTATGTTTGACAAAGGAAAATGTCCATAATACTTACATTTAATATTCCACTTTCAGAAGTGCTAGAGAGAAAATACAGCAATATGATATCTGGAGGGCCTCTGGCTATGCTGGGATAAGGCAATTGAGACAATTTTCCACATCCTGCTGTATTATCCCTTATATACAGTATGTGCTATGTTGGTACAATGCACAGGTTAGTCAATACTGAAAGCGGTGCATCTTTTATATGCACTTTTTAAAGTCATAAATTCTGTTCAGTTGGATTGTGCTTAGAAAGTATTGGGCTTAATTTTGGCCATAGGTTTATCTAGGCATGTTTGGGAGAAAGCATGAAAAGAAAAGTTATAGCAACACTCACAAATAGACCTCCTGTTGACAATCTAATTGGAATTATTCCAGTTATTGAATGAAACCTAACAGCAAATTAGCAACAAAGCATAGCAGCAAATAGACCAAGAAGATCAAATATTTCAAAACATTACTTGACCCAAGCAATTGTAATTTTTCTCAATGTGAACAAAAGCAGTAACAGGAAACTGCTGTATCAAGTTACTATGCACACACAAGTATATTTACCCAAAAAGAAGGCAAATCTGAATGTAAGATTATGCTTAATCTTCAGAAGAGAAAAGTAGACTGACATATCACCATTTCCACTGTACTATATTCTAAAGAAGAGTTGGGTACAATTTATTCATTTTAAAGATGAATATTATGCCTTGTATTTTGTAAAGATTTTTTTTTAATGTCAAAGAGGGCAAAAAAATAATAATGATGGCAGTACATTTTTGTGTATGTACAGATAAATGAAGATGGATCAAATGAAACAGTTTTACCAGTCAGCAATTGATTCTTATGTAGTTCTAGTGGCCTAGTCACTCACCATGAACTTTAAAGCTGATTTTGTGAAATCTGTATCATGGTAATAATAGGTTTGCTAAAAATACATAGCTGTATTTGACTATTTTGAATAAAGATGGGATTAGGCTGAATCCTGGATTTAAGTATGTTCCTCACCTCTCCCCAGGAAGCAGGTTGCGGCTCCACTGGTGGAAAATACTTGGGGACATCCCAAGCCACTGCAGCCATGAACCACTTGAAATCCTTGCACTTGAGATGCTTGCGAAGCTCCTTCTGGGCTGAAATATCACCAGTGGAAAGATGCCTATATTCAGGACGCCGCTGATAAACATATTCAGCAAACTCATCCATCCAAGTTTCTGCCACACGTTTCAGGTTCTGAACAACAAAAAGCAAGAGGCCTAGTTGATTTTCTGCATTATTTGCAGGCAGAAAAATCTTTCTTCCAACCGATCGTTGTTATCTTTGATATACACTTAAATTTATAAAACATTCTCTTAACCAGATACAGATGGTTATGCATTAGAAATAGCTTTTAAGCAAAGAGTGATAGCTTCTTAAACAACATCAGCAACAACACTCTTCCCCTTACTGCAAGTACTGAAAGGGGCTTAATTAACTGAATAACAGTAAAATCTCAATTAATGGTTTCAATAGAATGCTGCTACCAATTCTACTTTCACTTGTTACTTAATAAAAGAAAAATGTAGTTGATTTTATGTATTGTTTGCAGGCAGAAAAATTATTAAACTTCAGATTATTTAGAATTCAAACTGATCCACATTTACCTGGCATTTAATAAAAATCTTCTGAATCAAATCTATTTATTTTTTTTTGCCTTTCCTGAGACCCAATCAATTAAACCCTCACTTCTATCTCTCTTTTTCTGGTTTTAGTTTTGACCAACGGGTATTGTGCATTGTGTGGTATCCATAAGGATACCTTGGTGGCTTATATTATGCCAAATGAGTTCCATTAAACAAGCTGATATTTGAACATTCCTGTTCCTGCAAACTTGGGCTGTGGTTAGAGTTTTGAAATAATTAAAAACATTGAGGCAAAGGGTGTGTAGCAAGAGCTTGCCAGATAGATGCGTTTATTAAAGAAACTGGTTGAATAGGACCTCCAGGGATGGGCCAAAGCAAACAAGTGATAGAGATTAAGGGAAGAGACAGGAGCCGTAAGGATTTATTTGTTTATTTATACACCACATGCATGTATTTAAGTCAATTAACTCTTGGCAGCTGCCAGAATTAGTCCCTGCAGCTTTCTTGACAAAAGATTTTGAAATTTTACCATTGCCTTCTTCTTATGGCTAAGGATGACATTAGACTTAGAGATCTCTCAAGGAAGGAGCTTTTCTTTCAAGATACAAATGCAAGAACAAAGGGGATGAGTGGTGTGTGCATGAGGAAGTGAAAGTGGAGTATTGTGATTAATTAGAATTAGTTAGCCATGCTAATGGTACCATGACAAAGAAGAAACCGAGAAAAGGAAGCTTAGGAAAAAATAAAGAGTAAAAAAGAACTTAAATAAAACAATAGAAATATAGTGGCAGTATAGATGGCTGTTTCAGGAATAAGCAAAGAATAAAAGAATGGAAACAGAGGTATTCTTCTTGCTCAGCAGAATTCTCCTCATAGTTCAAAGAGAGGGAAGAACTGTACCGAAGAGCACAAGGCACTAAGAGTTTCAAATGGGACAAGGAGGAGAGCAGCTAGCAAAATCAAGAGAGGGGAAAATGCCTCTGACTAAGACCAGAGGACCTGATGAGGAAGCAGAAACAAAGCAACAACAACAGAGGCCATTCAACATGAAACATGTTGTTGATGTCTGCAGTGGCAGAGAAGGAAATATACAGCCAGCAGAGATGACAGGTTTTTAATAAGTATAGTGCTTTTAAAATTGCCAACTACAATTGAATGAAGAGCTTCAAAGATATATTTGAAAAAGGAAGCAGATGAAAAGTCTGTGTATAAAGAGACAGTAGTTTGATCACTGCTTTCAATAACCCAAGCTCCTGTTTTCAGAGACAAGGCATTGTTTTCTGCTAATGTTACTTTTAGTTTTAAACATTCCAAGCACAGAGACACCTGTAAGTTCTGCTAGGCTACCTCATCATGGTGGATTCCAGGAAGGAATGAGCAAAGAATATCAAGAGTGTATTGTAACATATTTCTAGTAAGATTATCCAAGGCAACCCAGCTGACCAGAAAAGGCAAGCAGGCAGTGACTCAGGAAGATGCTGGAGGTGGATGATCACTTTAACAACGATCAGAAATACATAATTTCACATTATGAGGGAGAAGGTGATGATAAATCACTTCTGCATTCTATCAAGAAAACCATGTAGATAGATCAAAGAAAATGACTGACAATGTAGTATGATGGTACGCTGAGTTCCGAAGGTACTCAACATGCTACTGTGCAAAAGTTATGGATCTTTAAGATTACTAATGGGGTTTATGACAGGCTGCTGGACATCTGTGATGCTGACAAATAAAACATACATAAGTTTCTTCTGCAAAAAACAGTGAGATTCCAATGAAAACATGGAACATAAGAATAAACATGAAAAAATTCAGCAGAGTGAAGATGAAATAAATCAACTATAAATTGATCTAAAGTATCAATAAAATTGAAACAGTCTAGAATTGAACATATTTAGTCAGAAAAGTATATTGTTTACTACTATGGATATGAAAAACAAAGAAGAAACAGAGCTGCTTTCATAATTAGAGTAGAAATAGCAAAGATAGTATTCACATACAGTGAAGTCCATGTCCAAATAATATCTGGTCTTAGATTTTATGGACAACCTTTGGATATGATAGTTATTCAAGTTCATGCTCCAACAAATGAGAATAGAAGAAAGTTGACAGGTTTTCTGGTCAATTTCAATCTGAAATTGACAGAATTTACATACAAGAGGCTTTGGTTTGCAGAATAGAATGCTAATACTGGAAATATATGAAGAAAACTTTGGGCAATAAATATGGTTGTGATTGAATGTCGGGTCAACCGTTAGCCTAAGATGACAGCAGAAGTAAAAGAATACCGTTCATGACATCCAGAGTGAAAGTAGTAAGACAAAAGGCAATGAGGATTCCAATGGAAAAGATTCCAATTCTATTTTCAAATATTGCTGATGGTATTATAGGTCGATTACCTAAAACTACAGGGGGCAATATTGTAATCATCTGTGATTATGAAACACATTATGTAGAAGCAGTGCCTTTAAAGCAGGGGTGTCAAACTGCTGGCCCATGGGTCGGACGCATCATGCGGAAGCCGCGCCCACCCCATTGCCGGCAATGGCAAAACTCTCCTGCTACGTTGCACAACGTCACATATGTCTGCTTTAAAGGAATGTAATTATAGAAATAATTGTTACAGTGTCAGTTAACATATTTAGCAGAGTAGGAATACCTCACAACTTTTTGAAGAATCAAGCACACAATTTTCAATCTTCTTTACTAAACATGTATATAAGAATTTAGGGATAATGGGAATTCTTTATCTACTTAGGCAGATGGAGTTAAACCAATCATTAAGGTATATATTAAAGAACTATGCTGGTAAGAATCCTAAGTATGTGGTGGCCTTATGTATTATTTACTTGCAATGAGAAGTTATTCCTTAAGCTATTTAAATTTGGAGAATTATAGGTTGTTAAAACATGTCTTGAGAACAAGCAAAGATTTGATACTATTGTTTTACTATGGTTTTCCTTATTGATCGAATTTGAGTGCAGATACATGGATAATCCTGGTTAGTTTAAACTAAAATGGAAACATTTATTTTGTTCTTTGGACACATGAAAGAGAGAAAACTCAGAGTTTACTCTGGCTCATTCTTAATGCAATAAACCAATTTTTTTTATAGATGTGAAGGCAGACAAAGGATATAATTCATAAGCAATGAGATTTTATTTCTTCAGTTTGAATATTTGGCCAAATGGAAATTATTTAAAATAAACTACAGTTAGAACAGCTTGCCTTCAGAAATAATGGGCGCTCCATCACTGGAGGCTTTTAAGAAGAGACTAGACAGTCATTTATCTGAAATAGTATAGGTTCTCCTGCTTCAGCAGGACTAGACCTCCAAGGTCCCTTCCAGATCTATTCTTTTTTAAAATAAGATTTTATTGATTTTTTCTTACATACATATAATAATTTTTCAACCAACGTGCTGTCTGGGTTTGAAAATGCTAATACATATTTAATTCCTAATCCTTCATTCTTTCCACTAGCCATTGATAGAATAAGTCCCAAGTTTGGTAATATTCTGTTTCTTCTTTTTCTTTCAATCTCATAGTCAATCTGTCCATCTCTGTGCATTCCAGTATTTTTTAAATTATTTCTTCCTCTGGTGGTGTTCCTTCATTTTTCCAATATTGTGAAAACATTATTCTTGCAGCTGTTGTGACGTGTAAAATCAAATATAGGCCTTGTTTGTTAATCTTTTCTGGCGTTATACCTAGTAAGAAAAATTCAGGTTTAAAGTCTAGATGTTCTCCCAATATCTTTTCTAACCAAGTATGTATCTTTCTCCAATAGCCCTTTGCTTTGTCACATGTCCACCAAACATGATAATACATGCCTGAATTATGTTTACATTTCCAGCATCTATCTGACATGTTTTTAAATATTTTTGCTAATCTTGCTGGTGGCAAGTGCCATCTATAAAACATTTTATATAAATTTTCTTTATATGAAGTTGACATTGTCAATTAATTTTTTGCCCATCTTATCATTGTTTCTTTAACTTGTTCATTTTCCATTTCTAGAATTAACAAAAAATTATACATTTCTTGATTAGTTTCTCATCTGAAGTTAACAAAATCTTATCAAATACAGTTTGTTCTTTATAAAAAACCATATAGTTTAATGTCTTTTTCATATCTATTTTGCATTTGTAAATGTGCCCACCACGACAAGTTGATACCCTGATTTTCCAGTTCTTGTTTAGTTTTTAAATTCCCTTCAGAATTTAGAATATCTCTATATGTCCAAATTTTTTCAATGTCTAACCAAGTTTGGATGTACAAATGCTTCCATAGTTGACAACCACCCTGGAATTTTCAGGTATATTTTACTTTTAATTTTTTCCCATACTATTAACAATGCATTCCTTATATAGTGATTTTGGAAATACTTACGAACTTTGTTTTTCCCATACCATAAGAAAGCTTGCCACCCCAATTGTAAATCATGCCCCTCCAAATATAACAACCTTTTGTTTCTAAGAGTTATCCATTCTGTCACCCATGTTAAAACAGATGCTTGATAATACAGAGCCCAGTCCGGTAGCCCAAGCCTTCCATTTTCCTTAGCATCTTGTAATGTTTTCATCTTAATTCTAGCTTTTTTTCCTTG